TGGTTTATCCGTCCCAGTGAAGAATCCAACTCATTGTATTTTTATTTTATTTTTTATTGGTACAAGATAATTTCATTTGTATTATCACTTTGTTCCCATTCCACAAACTAGTATTTTTAAGTTATATGTTGTTTTTGGTCTTTGTTTTACAAGATCAGAAATACATGTTAACCACTAAAATATTCTGACAAATGAAGTGTTGTCTCATTTCAGTGTAGAGTCTCTGTGAATGTCATTGTTCATTGAACAGTCTCTGCCTCCTGTAGCGTTAAGGGAGAGCTGTAATCCACAAATCTTTTTTTTAATGTTAACTTTCCCATAAAAATTTTAAATTTCTCAAATGGGGTCTGTGGATTATCCAGAGTTTATTCCAGTACAGTGTACACTGTGGTGCTGAAACAATGTATTTAAATTAAAATTTGATAGTGAATTGCTAGAATTATTTATCCAGAAAAATAGGCAAACGCGCTGGCTCCAGCTTGTCAAATGCAAGTACTTGCTTTTCTCTTTTTTTTTTTTTTTTTTTATCTCATTGGTAAGTGAATATCTTTGGATTGTGGATTTCATTTTGAAGACATTCACCTTGTGCTGTTGGAAATTTAAATAGGCCTTTTTTTCCCTTTTTAAAACTATTTTGGGACATTTTAAAGACCAATGGATTAATACTAATCCTAGTAGGTTGACCAGATAAACAGCCACAGAACAGCCTGAAGACAATGATAATGCTATATTGTGAAGTAATGTATCTTTGAGAAAAAGATTTAACTTACAGGGTTTTCACTAGATGACATTAGATTTGATTAGATTAGATTTGGATGTCTGGATAAGTAACACAAACAATATTTAAAGTAGTGTAGTTATTTGTTGTTTATATCACATTTAAGCAGTAGCAACTTAATTGACCAAGTGTTTTTAAAACATTGAAGAATTTGACTGGTACTTTCACACTGATACATACAAACTGGAGTCAGGCACAAACAGCTAGCTTAACTCTGTCTAAATTCACCTACCAACAACTTGAAAGCTCAGTAACATGTTGCCACATGTTTGTTCCCTACATAAAAATGAGCCTCCCCCAGGCATGGTGAAAGTCAGATTTTAGAATCATTCCCTGATGCTCAGATGGTGAACGGTGTATGAGAAGGTAAGTACCTCTTTCTGTGTAAATATTTATAAGTGTGTGCAAGGTTGTGTTAATTTGTTTCTGCACTTGAAGCAGTTAATGAGGCACTCGGAAGCTTATTCATATATTTACATATAGTCCCCTCCAAAGGTATTGGAACAGTAAGGCAAATTCCTTTGTTTTTGTTGTTCACAGAAGACATTTGGGTTAAAGATCAAAAGATGACTGAGACAAGAGTTCAGAATCTCAGCTTTTATTTTGTGGTATTCACATCTAGATGTGTTAAAACAACTCATGACATATCACTGTTTGTATTAGACCACAGCATTCTCAGGGGAGAAAAAGTATTGGAACAAATAAAGTAAATAACATTTAATATTTGGTGGCATAACTCTTGCTTGCAATAACAGCCTCAAGCCTGCGACCCATCGACGTGACCAAACTGTTGCATTCTTCATTTGTGATGCTATTCCAGGCTTTCACCGCAGCTTCTTTCAGTTCTTGTTTTTCGGGGTGTTTCTCCCTTCAGTCTCCTCTTAAGGAGGTGAAATGCATGCTCTGTTGGTTTAAGATCAGCTGACCGACTTGGTCAGTCTAAAACCTTCCACTTTTTCCCCCCTGATGAAGTCCTTTGTTTTGTTGGCAGTGTGCTTTGGCTCATTGTCCTGCTGCATGATAAACTTCCTCCAGATTAGTTTCAACGCATTTCTCTGTAAATTGGCAGACAAAATGTTTCTGTACACTTCTGAATTCATTCTGCTGCGACCATCATCAGTTACATCATCAATAAATATTAATGAGCCTGTTCCAGAAGCAGCCGTGCACGCCCAGGCCATGACATTACCTCCGCCATGCTTCACAGATTAGCTTGTGCTTCGGATCATAAGCAGTTCCTTTTTTTCTCCACATTTTGGTCTTTCCATCACTTTGCTAGAGATTAATTTTGGTCTCATCAGTCCATAAGATTGTGTTCCAGGACTTTTGTACTTCTTTGCAAATTTCAGTCTGGCCTTCAGATTCTTCCTGCTGATGAGTGGTTTGCATCTTGTGGTGTGGCCTCTATATTTCTGCTCTCTGAGTCTTCTTCCAACAGTGGATTGTGATACCTTCACCCTGCACTGTGGAGGTCGTTGCTGATGTCACTTACTGATGTTTTGGGGTTTTCTTCACAGCCCTCACAATATTTCTGTCATCAACTACTGTTGTTTTCCTTGGCCGACCTGTTGGACGTCTGTTGCTCAGTACACCAGTAGTTTCTTTCTTTTTCAGGACGTTACAAATTGTTGTGCTTGCTATGCCCAGTGTTTGTCCAATGGCTCTGGTCGATTTTCCTTCTTTTCTCAGCTTGACAATGGCTTGCTGTTCTCCCATAGACAGCTCTCTGGTCTTCATGTTGGTTAATCCTCTTTAACAGGAAATGCAGTCTTTATAAGTCTGAACCAAGGATGAAAACTAGTCATGCAGAACTATTTAATGTTTGGACAATCAACCTATAAGGCAACACCTGGGCAACAAGAAACATCTGTCAGTCACATGTTCCAATAGATTTGCTCACTTGAAAAATAGGTGGGTTCAAACAAAGGGTGGTGTGTCCTGAGTTGTTTAACACATCTAGATTTGACTAACAGGAAATAAAAGCTGAAATTCTGAACTCTTGTCTCATACTCATCTTTTGATCTTGAACCCAAATGTCTTCAGTGAACAACAACAAAAAAAGGAATTTGCCTTACTGTTCCAGTGCTTTTGGAGGGGACTGTACATACATTTCACTATGATTGTACCTTGTATGATTATATGTGACAAATTAACTTAAACTTGAACATGGTTCTATCAGGTTAATGGAGGCTGTTGATCCAAATAATTTAATATGCAGAGTTTGCTGAGGGGCTGCAATTAGTCTCTAGTGGTGGAAGAAGTATGCATGTATTTTACTTAAACTGCAATACAAAATGTAAATAAGTCCTGAATTTAAATTTTTCAAGCAAGTTAACAATATTAGATACTAAATTATTGAATTATTATTAATAAATTAAAGTGTGAGCAGCATTTAAAAGGAGAGTAAGTGATTCTGCAGGATTTGAACAAAATGCCAAATACACCACTCCCTTCAGTGCTCCCTCAGAAGCTTTGCACATAAAATATTAAATCTCCAGTGTTGAGATTTAACACAAACGCTGGTTGAAACACCTTTGTGTTCAATCTCAAATTTGCCCTTGCCTGGTCATATAACATTCTTTTCCATTTATACTCTTCAGACCTTTTCGTCTTTGGTGGCTGTTTCTCGGCCAGCTCTCCTTCTGGACAGTCCAGCACATTTGAATGTTCCGGTGTAAAGAACTCTCCCTGCCACTGCTCCTGTGTACAAGCACTAACGCCAGCTTTTGCTGATTGGCTGCAACACTGTTGTGTGGCAAGGTCCACACCACTTTCTTTGTTTTCTGTTTACAGAGCCAGAGCTATGAGGAAAACCAGATATTTTCCCCGAGCAAACACAAAATGGAGAGCTAGCAAGCTGTGAGGAAATATTCGCTGAATTTAACAAGTGTATTGGTCTACAATCACTTACTATCACTTTAATGACAAACCGAAAACTCATCACTAAAAGTTGCTGCTATTCCGCCACCTTCTTCTCCTTCTGCGTTATCTGCCTGTTCTCCTAAGCCTGAGGACCATATGACAAGTTTTTTCAAGTAACTCGCTAGGACCCATATTTACATTTACTGTGCATAGCATAGAGGCAGGGATAAGTAAAACAGTTTTTTTTAGAAACTAGTGCCTTTATGAAGAATCTGAATCTTATGAAGACTCGGCTGTTTAGACTTTCTGTGTTGTAATAATTGGAGCTCTTTTCTGTTTCTCTGACTGTGATTTTGTTCCCACTGTGTCACTACTTTGAGTCACCATTCTTCAGTTAAAAACTGGGCCCAGGTTTAAAAACACCAAAATCTTCTGTCTGTTTGCAGCCTCCATCTCTCTAGCTTTCCCTCATGAGGTCTCTCTCTGCCAATGAAATAGCACTGCCCATTGTGTGCAGGCACAATCTTGCTTTTAAAGTGAAAGGGACAGCCCGCTGGTTGGTTTACTTCATGTTACGCCCAAAACAAACCTATTAATTAAGAAACTAAATACTTTTACCACATTTTACCCATATGCCCAAGTGTCTACAGCTACATTATATCTCTAAACCAGAAAGCTGTGATGCAGTGTTAAAGGAATATAACAATGGAATTTTTTGTGGGGAGTTAGATGGGAAAATAATAGCAATCACTTTTTTACAAGTACAGATAAGTACAGGTGCCCTCTGTTCTTGATATCTTCTTTTCTTTCTTCCAGTTTTTAAAGACGGCGGACCCTTGAGGATGTCCTGCCCATGGATTTGCTTGAGTCTGCTCTATGCTGCTACCTTCCTACGAAGCAGTGCCTCATCAAATAATGGTAGCTTTATATTGCTTGTACCAGAAATAAATTGACAGTATACTACATTATGAAGTAAAAAAAATAACTTGTTTGTCATACATTACTTTCTCAACCAGGAGTATCACTGAAGTGCACCAACACAACAGTGGAAGTTGTAGCTGGAGAAAATGTGACACTAAACTGCAGTATTTATTACTCAGGAATGACAGACTGTAAGTGTCTAAGTTACATGTGTCTAAACACACATGTGCTATGTAAAAGTGACTGTGAATCGGATAATCAGACTTATGTCTCACCAACCATCCTGAATGTCACGAAGGAGGACAATTACACTGTTCTGATAAAGACAGACTGTGGTCATGCTGAATCTGCCATCAAAGTACAACTTAAAAGTGAGTAGCTTACAGTGTGTCTTTTCACAAATGAGTGTGTGTGTGCATCATTATTATCCAGTCTTGTTCAGACATACAGTTGCATTAAATCCAAATGTTAAGATAAGTATATTTTGTCTTGCCAGATGTAACCTTGTCACCACGGAATTCTGAGCAGCCCACCAAGCCCGATGGGACACCGTTCGTGCGAGCCATTTTGGGCATTTTCTTCATCCTTATTGTTTTGGGCATTTAATATTTCCTGTTAGAAACTGGCAGAAAGAAGAAAAAGACCCCAGTGACACTGCCTGACAAATTTAGAAAATTGGAGGGGGGGGGGGGGGATTGTAGCTAGGTAATATAGCTCATACATAGGAACCCTGTGTATCAGTTAGGAACATACAGTCTATGGTTAGGAGTCCCCTTTAAAGAGGTGGTATTATGGTTTTTGGCTTTTTCCCTCTCCTTTATTGAGTTATATACCTTTTTTGTGCATGTAATAGGTTTGCAAAGTGAAAAAGTCCAAAGTCCACCCCAAAGGGAGTTCCCATCTCCCACAGAAAACTCTGCTCTGAACTGCCTGAAAACAGCTCAGACGTAGTCCAGCCTTTACTTCCCTTTCTTGTGACGTCATAATGCTCACTGAGCAATTGGTCCGACACGCCCTCAAAAACACCGGTGGAAAAACACTGTGCTGCAGCACACGCCTCTCCTCTCACTTCCAAACACTAGCTACCCTCCAACCAGTCAATACATACTGTGATGTAGAGACAGAGCTCAGTTAAAACCATAGACTGTATATAAGAAATGGACGTAGTCAGCGTGACGTCACCCATTGGTTTGTGGACTGCCATTCTGAAGCCTCGAGTTTGGCCGATAGGGCGCCGCCATATTGAGTTTTTGCAACCAGGAAGTGCCTGGAAGTGACAATACGGCGAAGCTAACGGCCGTGTGCGGAGCTAGCTAGCTTGCTTAGCTAGGTGCAACTGTAACTCACGTTAACTGTCAACATGGCTGATAACTTTGTCTAGCGAACAACAATCTTAAAACTAAATGTACTCACCAGAGAAAGTGAACAGCCGACTCCTAATAAGCTTTTTCAGTGGTGCTGGTTAAATTTACACAGTGCCGTAGGTACGAGTCACTGTAGCCTGATTGACAGGTTGCCATGGTAACGACTTGTCGATCATAGATAATCCCGCACTGAAACATACTCTGCTTTGTGGTCTATTTTAAAATAAATGGGACCATAATTTACTAAATGAACATAATTTTGTATTGAAGAAGATTTGAAACTAGCGACTGAGACCATAAACTCATCAGGAAAGTGTTTACTGGGGTAATTATTAAGCAGAGAAGTAGGGTCATTTTCCTATTATTTCTAATGGAGCCGGACTTCTTTTTGCAACCAGAAGAGTCGCCCCCTGCTGGATTTTCAATAGAATGCAGGTTTCAGGGACTTCCGCATTGACTTCATATTGTATAGCAGAAGCTTCCCCGCTTGGTTAAAACTTTATGGATGAATGATACTTTTGTTACAGATTAATAACTCACCACTCTGAAACTCTTGCTCCAGTCCAAATTGCCAACCTGGTTGGCAACATGTAGCCTACAGCTGAATCAAAGCTGTTTACCGTCTTTTCGCTGACTCACCCTTCTCTGCTTCTCATTGGCTAGTAGTCCTTAACTAGGAACTGCACATGTGCAACTCCCAACAAAGATCATTTAGAGACAAGATGTATCACTCCATAGCTAAAACAAAGCCTTCAACACAGGGTGAAAAGAGGAGCTGCAGCAATGTGCAGTATGACAAAAAATATGGTGTTTTTGGAAAATTAAACCATGTAAACCTGTTCTGGTACAACCCCTAAATAGGATTTTGAACCTGAAAATGAGCATAACACCACCTCTTTAAGTTTAAAAAAAAACTGATGTCATCAAAGCTCAGGCTTTGAGACCACAAACAATTACAATGGAAAACCTATTGTTACAAGCTTCAGCATTGTCTTTGAAAAACTTGGCCATTTATCAGTCCAATAAAATACATTATTGCGTTGCATTATGTGAAATGTAGGCTCCACCTACTTTTGGAGCTTGACCTATACCTGGGATTCCAATTCAAGATAATCTGGCCTCTGCTGCATCAAACTTTATCACAAGTATACAACTTTCTGGAATTGTAATACAAAGTCTTTCATACAATAAAAACAAGCAAAGTAGGAATCAATAGTGAATTTAATAATGTAACCTATACTGTGAAAGGAGTGAGTGATGTAAGTGTGCTGGAAATACTGTGTGTGTAGATTGTGGTGCGGGTTATCTCCATTGATGTACATGAAACAGATATGGGTGATGGAACATCTCTGAAAATAATGTTTTGTCAGTAACAAGTGCTTTCACATCCTTGATCTAATGCAGCACAGCACACACACACACATACACAAACACAAACACACACACAAACACCCACAGCTGAAGAGTCAGTCTGACATTTCCTTGTTACACCACATTTCGCTTTTTAAGCTTTCATGTGACAGTTAGCGTGTCAGTCTGTCAGGGTGCTGTGTCTTGGACTGAGTCTACAGTAGCCTGCCTACAGTCCAGCGGGATGAAAGCCCACTGGTGGAGCTGTGTGCTGGGATTACTCTATATGCCTGCTGAGGTGATACTCAGCACCTGGTCAGGTGAGTGTGAGTATGAAATAGAAAGTATGGATATGTTTTGTGTTAAAGATTCAAAACAATGAAAACGTCTTCAAAGTGAAGTCTGAGTCAGGTTTTCCTGTTTGTTTGTAGCCTCACCCTGTTTTTGTCCTCCGAGTAGTGTCTCTAAAGGAAGTTGTGGAAAGATTTCTCTTAATTGATTCTTTACTTAAGTAAAGGTCCCAATAAAACAACAAATTGCTTGTAAAAGTTTGTTGGGTTTTTTGCAGAAAAATTTACTTGTATCAAAATTAACAGTCCTCGTTCTGCAGAAAAATAGCCTCTGCGTCTCATATATTAGCATAGAGGTGAAGCTAGTTTTAGCAATAAACCTCCTGTGGGTCGCAAGATAAATCTGAGGGGTTGGGAGGTGGTTAATGGGGCAGGAAAGTTCTGCTACACACATTTGTATTCAACTTGTCTTTAATCTTAGATTTTTGTGAAATATGGGATCATTTGGGCCCCAAACAATTGAAATCTATAAGAAGTCCTTGGTCGAACTGTTGACAACTCATAGACTTCTGAAATGTGACAAGGGGCCCCAACCAGACACTACATTTTCCTAAGAAATCACAAGACAAAAAGTTTGAGAACAACTGGTTTAATCATTGTATTTTATGAGGTTATCATGTTGTGGCTTTTTTATGTGAAATCTTAATTTAAAAAGTAACTAGTAACTATAGCTGTCAGTAAAAAAGTACAATATTTTCCTCTTTAATGTAGTGAAGTAGATGTATAATGGTAGCAAAGTACCTCAAAATACATCACCACTGTCTGAAACAATCTACTAGCTCATTCCCTTTAACAATGGTGTTTGAATAATTAAAACTGACTTTTTTACACTTCCACTGACATTATGACCTGATCATTTCTTTATAACTGGTGACTTCAGGTGGAGCAGTCAGTAACAGTCCATCTCTTCCTGACAGTCTCTCAGGTTCCCATGTCTATCTCTCTGAAGAAAGTCAACTCATCTGCTGAGATCACGTGCTCATGCTCATTGTCTTACCTGATAGTGTTCAAACTGCAAAGGCGTTTCCATGGCAACGAACCTGTTGTGTTCCTGTCCTTGGAAAACGGAGAAGTCACAAAGAACACTATAGCTGAAGAATTTACAGACCGAATTAACATCCAGCAGATCGAGGGGGGCTACGGGTTCACCTTGGAGTTGTCTCTGCTCAGGTTGGAGGACACAGACTTGTATTACTGCAACTGGATACACATGGAGTCAGAAAAGCTAGAAACCGTGTCAAGCAATGGCACCATTATCATTGTCAGAGGTGAAAGAACTAGTCATCTGAGATCAATCTGTCCACTCAAAATGTCCACTCATAAAAACAAATGGTTTAACTAACTTGTCTGTCTTTGATTCAACTTTCCCCTTCTGTTACTTTTCCTCACAGATCGTGATCCCCATGAACAATGCAAACACCTTGTTTTGGATTTCATCTTTATTGGCTTGAGTGTGACAGCATTCACTGTGTTGTTCCTCTTCCTTGGAGTACTGATTGTGAGATGCCTACGAGTAAGTGCTACTGTAAACGGAGGGACCTGCTCTCATAACCATGCAAAGACAACACCTTGGGGTTGCAATTCATAGGTTTTCTTTGTGTTTCTACAGTTTAAAAAGCACTTCAGACCTGCCAGAGCAGTAAAACCATCCAGACCAAACAGGCCTCAGCATGTCTGTCATCAGCAGAGAGCTCAACATTGTCCCTACTTAGTCACATCTCTACATACTATGGATGATGATAAAAGATGACGATTCTTTGGAAAAGTTGGTGTCGACTGTATAGTAAATTGATGTTTAAGTGTTTGTGACAGATGATTAAGATTTTCTATTTTGCGTCAGCAGCTCAACTTATGGGCTCAACCGAGGAAAGATGTCTCATATTTTGCTCTGCTTCTCATTTCCTTGTATATACAAATTTCTGTTTTGTTTGCAGATAAGTGATTGAGCTACCACATCCTGTGTTATGTGGCGTGTACATGTCTGATGCATGTGAAGAGAACTGCAGAGCAAGCGTTTTTGTTATTCTCCTTTATGTGTTGCATGACATGCGTGCTTGACCTGCTGAGTTTTGCAGTATTCTGTTTCCTTTATGTCTCATAAAAAGATTGTGAACTTCAAAACAAGTGTGAAACACAGTGTGCTGCCTGACTTGATATGTACATTAAATATAACTTTTTCCAATTTGCTGTTCCTTTCGAGAGTCTACTAATCTTAAAAAGCCACCACTGAATCCTTATCCTTGAGAGGAAGAAGAGAAAATCCACCTCAAAATAACCTTCCCGTTATATTTTTAATGTTGCACCATTAAAGATTATTTTTTAAAGATATTAATCCTGAAAGGTGCAATGGTCTCCATAGACTTGAAATCAGAGGATCAATTAATGCTCTGATTTCCAGACAACTTTGCTGGGCAAAATACTTTCAACAGCACAATTCCAGTCGTAATAGGCTGGATTAGGCTATCACATGACAACTTAATTCACACACAAAGCTTGGAATAAATGTAACGTTACTCGGGCATGCAAGCCGTCAGTCTGTGGTACAGAGAAAGAGCTAGTACCCAAGTTACTCTGTGGAACCTCCGTACTGAGTTGTCGATGTTACACGGACTATTGCGGGTGTAACACAAGGTGCAGCCTTGACAACTGTCTGTTTTGATGATAATAATGCATTCTAATTATGTGATAAAGTACATATTTGTGTAATAAAAAGATACGGGGCTCGACACGCGTAACGTTAAATGTAGCCAGCTGTCCGTAGGCTAGCAGAGGACACTGCCTGCGAAAACGACCCAGGAAAGATAAACGGTTTTCACCTTGGCTTTTGCTCTCAGTCCTGCCGAGTGTCCAAAGCTCAAAGTAGAGGCAGCAACTTGGGGCTGGTCACCAAACAGCAGGAAAACGACACAGTGGATTTAACAGTTTCTTGGTTTAGCCAGGGAAGAAGATGAGCGGCCACAAACTGCTGTTTTCCGGGTTAAAGTTGTGGACCTCAGGAAGAAGTAGCTGGATAAGTCGACTTAATGATGGTGAGGCATGTTAACCCCGCTGCTGTAGTCAATGCTTTATGTAAGTTAAGTTAGCCCTAACGTTAGTACGTTAAGTGTTTTCTTGTACGGAGGCAGAAACTTACGCGCCTAACCCGAAAGAAAATGTAACGTTAATCAATTATGATTTGACAAAGTTGCCTTCCAACAAAGCTATTTGTTTTAAGATTTTCTAAACCTTTAACAAAGTGTCTTCACTCAGCAATTCGACATAACTGACCCAATGTACCAAGCAGCGTATATAAAAAGATACAGCATTGTACATCTATAACATTAACGTTATGCCTGAGAGTTTTACTGAATGAAGACAGTAGTAACAGTGTGATGGATAGTGGCAAACTTTCCCCTGGCGGTTTGTGAACTGCTGATGAACTTGCCTGGGGAATAACATAACAGTGCCTTAGAAAAAATGTTGTACAACAACTCCAGACCTTCCTGCTAATCTCAATCCCAAGTCTCTGCTGATTCTGTAGGTATAAATGAGCGTGGAAAGGCATCTTTTTCCTCTTGCAGCCCAAAGGTGTGTATTGTTGGAAGCGGCCCAGCAGGTTTCTACACGGCACAGCATTTGATCAAGGTATGTTCTGCTTTGTCAGTGTTGGTGAAGATAGGCAAAGTACGAAGTGACAATCAAAGCAAAAAGAGGAGTTTGCCGCATAGTAATGTAAAAGGCTAAAAAAGTCAGACTGTCAGCAGGAGGATTATGTCAGAGGAGAAGGCCTCTGGTGACACATAGTTCAAGTTCAGGTTCGTTTATTGTCATTCATCCACATTCTGAGTATACAAATGAAAGAAATGCCGTTAATACAGTTCAAGGTGCTAAAACAAAATCACACTGATTTTATCTGACAAGACAAGACACCATACAACACAACCCAGTAACTGACACTAGACGAGGTAGAACTGATCCATTGCTGTAATGCAGAGTGAGCATGGTGTGACTGGAGCATTAATAAGTGTAACCTGAAGCATGTCCACCTTTATATACTTAAATATTAGCAGTGACATCAGAGAGATAACAAGGGGTGAGCCCATTTACAATTCATCAGTAGCACCCACTTTGACATGGATAGGTACTATAAGTTATAGGGTTAGGCGATGTCTGCAAAATTTCCATTTGACGATGTCTGCAATGGAACATCGGGATGAATGATGTCAATCGGGTGTGCGGGTGTTTTATGTGCATGTGTTCTCGCGCAGACTTCAGTTGGTAAAAAAAAAAAAGGTACACTATTAAAGAGGTGGTGTTGTGCGTTTTGGCCTTTTCCCTCTGCTTTATTGAGTTGTATATCTTTTTTTGTGCATGTAACACGTTTGCATAGTGAAAAAGCCCAAAGTCCACCCCAAAGGGAGTTCCCATCTCCCACAGAAAGCACTCCTCTGAACTGCTTGAAAACAGCTCGTTTGTAGTCCAGCCCTTCACTTCCTTTACTTGTGACGTCACAATGAAAATGTGTCATAAAGCTTGCCAAGCAGCTAGCGGGGTCAGGCACGCCCTCAAACCAAGCTAGTCTGAGCGGAGGCCCTTTGGCTCAACTCGCCTTTGTTTGGGTTTACATTGTAGAAATGTTGTACCTGTACCTGCTTCCAGGTACCTTTTTTCGTATCACCTCACCTCCATCGAGGTTCCAAGCAAGCTGAGGGAAACTAAAATGTAACATGAAAACAGGACAGATTGCTGATTGGTCAGAGAGAATCGTCACTATTCACTGCATCATCATTGTGTGCGCCAGACAGAGACACAGTTTTCGTATGGTATTTCATCACTAAATCCACTTCTGAGAAGTTTTGAGGTGAGAAATCAGCTGTGTAGATTTTGAATATTGACAGTTTTACGAGAAGCGATGGCGGATGCTTGAATATTTTCGGACTTGAGGAGCTCCGTAAGTGGCTGCGGGGGAAACCTGTGCCAACCCGCGGGAGGAGCGTGTGAGGCCGTCCAGTTAAAAACGTTTTAACTTAAAAAAGAGAAAGCTGTGTGGATCGCTGGTGTGTGTGTTGCATTGAACATTACGTCGTGGCAGTTGTGTGTGGCGTCGCTATGACGACAAGCTCCGTACTATCTCTGGGTACTATCTGCAATGGAAAACGGAGCAGGGCCGAGTAGAGTCCAGTCTATCGATTGGTGCTATGGTAGCATTTTTCGGCAAGGCAGCATAGATCGTCAGAACACCCGCAACAGTTCAGCGTTTAGTCCTAATGGTAAGATGTGGAACAATGATGTTGTGTGGTTGTAGACTTGTGAGTAACTTACACCATCTGCTAGGTTACGGTCGCAGTCTGAAGCGGCTTTGATTTGGATCACACTACCTTGTTTTTTACAACCCGCCCTTCTCTGCTCCTGATTGGCTAGTAGTCCTTACCTGGGAACAAAGATTTTGTACAAGTAAGATGCATCATTCTGTAGCTCAAGCGTGGAGCGTACAACACATAGGGTGAAAAGAGGAGCTGCAGCAATGTGCAGTATGAGAAAAATATGGTGTTTTTTGAAAATTAAACCATGTAAATCTGTTCTGGTACAACCGCTAATTAAGATTTTGAACCAGAAAATGAGTATAATACCACCTCTTTAACTTACGTCACAAGTTGCTGTGGATATTTTACGCATGGACCAGGTAAAGCAGCAGTGAACGAACAGGGTGCAGATGTTGGTTTCAGTTGTTTGATAGGCTACGTCATTAATAAGCCGACGTGCAGCTCACCTGCTGCCGTGATAATGGATCGCTATTAGGCGACTTTATAAAACATACTGCTGATGGAGAAAATAGAGCAGACGGGGGCGAGAGAGGCGGGGCAAGCCGGGGTGTTTACCTGAGGTGTAGGTGTGTCTGAGTGTGTCAGAGTGTGGAGAAAAGAGGATTCCGAGGCAGAGCATACTTAAAAACAATAATAAGAATGTTTGTGGTCATTAAAACCTGCTTTCACAGGGTGGTATAATGTGAAAATTTTAGAGATTTTTTTACTGGGGGGGCAGGGGTTTTACAGTCACAGCCAGCTCAACGTCGTGATGTCTGTCAGCCATCGCCACTGGACGATGGCATCACCTATCAGCCCAATCCTAATAAGTTAGTGTTAGCCTTATTAATGAAACTGGTGTCTGTGTCGAGCAGAGCCAGTGACCACCATGTCAGTATCATCAGAATTTAGGTGGACATTTCGTGACATCCAGGATTTCACAGCAGATAAAAAGGCCTCTCAATTTGTAATTGTAGTATAATCATCTGCCTTTACAGGCACATACAGCTTAGTATCATCAGCGTAGAAGTGGAAATGAATTCCAAAACTGCGTATAATTTGACCAAAAGGTGTAATACATAAAGATAAAAGCAGAGGGCCAAGAACAGAGCCCTGAGGAACTTTCAGATTATGTAATGTCATTGTTAGAACACACTGATTCCAAGTAGTTTTTGAGATGATCTCATAGTATGCTGTGATTCGTGATATCAAAAGCTGTACTGAGGTCAAGGAATAGAAAGTAATAGAAGTGGAATTTGAATAGGTGGTAGGCAAAATGTAATTTACCACTTTTTGCAGGTCCACCTTGATCAGAAAATCATGTCAAGACAGACAAATATGTGTGCCCCTCACTACTAAATATTCCCCTACAGTTATCACACCCTCATTATTTACTTCAGGTTTCAGTTGCTGCCCTTATGTAGATGATCATACTTTCAATCTCACAGGCCTGCTATACGGAGCACAGGAAATAAGTTGCAACTGCTTTGTGTAGACCAAGTCTTTTTGAGTCACCTGGCTGTGTCTCCTTGCGTGCATTTCTGTGCAAACGTGTCAACAGCCATAGTAGTGGCACTGTGGGGCTGTATTTAGTCACAGTGTTATTTTGAGGTAGATGCTAAAATTCATTGTGACAGTGCTAACATGCTGATATTTAGCAGGTTTCATCTTAGTTTAGGGCAGCACGGTGGATAGCACTGTGGCCTCACAGCAAGAAGGTCATGGGTTCCAACCCCGGTCGTCCCGGCCTTTCTGTGTGGAGTTTGCATGTTCTCCCTGTGTCTGTGTGGGTTTCCTCCGGGTGCTCCGGTTTCCCTCACCATCAAAAACATATTTGGTACTCCACTCAGTGCCACTGACTAGACACTGATATACACATCTGGAGTTGGTCCCTGGGCGC